GCGGTGGTGGCTCACGCCTGGAATCCCAGCACTTTGGGAGGCCGAGGTGGGTGGATCATTTGAGGTCAGGAGTTTGAGACCAGCCTGGCCAACACGGTGAAATCCCATCTCTACTAAAAATACAAAAAGTAGCCTGGCATGGTGGCGCACATTTGTAATCCAGCTACTCGGGAGGCTGAGGCACGAGAATTGCTTGAACCTGGGGGTTGGAGGTTGCAGTGAGCTGAGATCGTGCCACTGCACTCCAGTCTGGGTGACAGAGCAAGATTCTGTCTCCAAAAAAAAAGGAAACAAAAAAATCTGGGGCTCACAGTCAAGAGGTCTGGCTGAGGGATTATGATGAGGACCAGGCGAGGGCAGGGACCCTGTCTGCCTTGTTTGCTGCTTAGCTCGGGGCAAACGCTCAATCCAGTGTGTTGAGAAGTCGTAGGTGGAACACCAGGCTTAGGGTCCCCTCCAAATGCCCCTATGGAGCTCACTACCAGCACAGGCAAACCATCTCCTGGAGGAACAAAGAGAGACGCCAGGTGGGCTTTTAAAATCTCTTTATTTACAGCCCAAGAGCACATGCAATATGACATCATGGGACTACAAGGGTGTGGCACCTCCCCCTGCCCCTGCCGCTTCCGAACTTTAAAGAGGAACTACAGCACCCTAGGAAATTGCCTAAGAGTCAGAAAACCCTACACTAAGGGTCCCAGGCCGAGGTGCTCCATTCATTTACCCCAAAAATAAAGACCACTTGCAGCCCAGGAGGCTGGGCCTCAGAGCCTGGGAGTTTGTTATTGCTGGTAATTAGCTAGGCAAAACAGGTCTCAGATTTGCCAACTCACACCTGAATACAAATACCCCGAATTATCCGAATGTCCCTGACCACTCCACATTTCTGTTTTCCCCGTCTCATCCTAGACTTGTGATTCTCAAACTTGATCGTGCCCAAGAATGACCCGGAGAACTTGTGAAAAGCCAAATGGCTGGGTCCCATCCCCAGAGATTCTGGCTCAGTAGGCGTGGGGTGGTGGGGCCCAAGATTCTGCATCTCTTTTTGTTTTTTGTCGTTTTTTGAGACAGGGTCTCGCTCTATTGCCCAAGCTGGAGTGCAGTGGCGCGATCATGGCTCACTGCAGCCTCGACCTCTTGGGCTTGAGTGATCCTCCCACCTCAACCTGGAGAATAGCTGGGACTACAGGTGTGCACCACCGTGCCCGGATAATTTTGTTATTTTTTGGTGAGACGAGGTCTCCCTATGTTGCCCAGGCTAAGATTCTGTATTTCTACCAAGCTCCCAGGTGCTGTTGCCAGCCCGGGACCATCATCTGAGTGTCTAAGGTCTAGAAAGCCTTTTGCACCCAGAAGTGACCCGGCCATGGATCCTGTATCAGACCACTTGTTCTGACTTAGAATTCAGAAAATACACTCCCTGCAATGTAAACCCCTGGTTCTACAAACCGCCCTTCCCAGGAAAGGTGACCTTCCCTGCCGACCTCCTCCCCAGGAAACACACACAGTCACCATTGCCTGTGAAAAGTGAAGACTATCACAGAGGTGACAGGGCTCAGTCCAACCCCAGAAACCCCCAGTGAGGAGCCACAGTGGTTTGCTTCTCTGGCCTCTCCACTGTCTGTCTCAGCACCGTTTTCCTGGCTGTTCTGTTGTTTTATAAACCTTGTCTCTGCAGCTGTGAGTGAACCGCACTGCAGGGGCCGTGCACCCACCACCTCAATGTTAGGTTTTGTTGGGTGGGTTGAATGTGGCTTAAAATAAGGACCCACCTCCAGCAGCTCAGTGGTAGAAGGGGTTGTGGTTTTAGGATTTACTTTGTGGCTTGGTCACTCCTCAAGGGGCTGTGAAGCTGTCATTTTCCCACAAGCCTTGGCCGTCATGTCATTGCATGCTCAGCCTATTCCCAGCAGGCATGGAAACCACTCTTGGTGTCTCCAGACAAACCATGGGATGGCAGCCCTGTGGGAACAGCAGGGATTCCTGGGATCCACGGTGAGACTCCAGCGGGAGGAGTGCAGGAGGGCTCAGGCCACAGGCCCAGCAGCTACTGGTTGCCACATGGCCTCCTGCTCAGCTCCCCCAGTCCACCCCGGGTGTCTTTTTAGACTCCTGCACCTATCTTACTGCAAAGTCACTTACTCCTCCGGCCCTGCCTCGGTGCCTGGAATCTGTACATGCTGCCAAGGGCTGAGGCCAGCACAGTTTTCCAAACCTCTTTGACCACGGAAGCCGTACCCTGCCCCTTTCTAATGGAGCATCTCATGGTCCCAGTGTTCTATGGAACATACTTTGGGGAAGGAGCTTGAATAGTGACTTGAATAGAATAGAGCTTGAATAGAAATGATCTCAGAGTATGTGATGGGTCATTGTCAAAGAACCAAACATCTCCTAAAATTCTCCTAGAATAACAAATTAGCTAACACTGGAGGTTTATTTGGTGGTAGGCACTGTTCTAAACACCTTATAAGAATTCTGCATTCACAGGCCAGGCACGCTGGCTCACGCCTAGTAATCCCAGCGCTTTGGGAGGCTGAGACAGGTGGATCACCTGAGGTCAGGAGTTTGAGACCCGCCTGGCCAACATGGTGAAACCCCATCTCTCCTAAAAATACAAAAATTAACCGGGCATGGTGGTGCTTGCCTGTAATCCCAGGTACTTGAGAGGTTGAGGCAGGAGAATCACTTGTACCTGGGAGGCAGAGGTCGCAGTGAGCTGAGATTGCGCCACTGCACTCTAGCCTGGGCAACAAGAGTGAAACTCTGTCGCAAAAGAAAAAAAAATCAAAACGAAGTATGCATTCAGTACTCACAACAACCCTATGAACGGAGAGTTATCCCCATTTTACAGATGAAAAAAATCAAGGCACAGAGACCTTAAGAAACTTTCCTAAGGTTGCCAAGGCGGTGAGAGGTGGAATAGGTGGATTTATCACCAGCTGCACTGCTACAGATGGAAGGGGAGAGCGGAGGCTCTCAGCCCCAGCTGCACGTGGAGTTACCTGGGGAAAAAGCTATGAAGCCCAGACCAAACAAAGCGGAAGCCTTGTGGGTGGGTCCCAGGCCTTTTAATGTTCCCAGATTGTTGCAACATACAGCCAAGGTTGAGAGCGAGCAGGCTTGAGCCTGTCTCTTATACACATCTAGATGTGTATAAGAGACAGATAATATTTTGTGACATGTGAAAATTATATGAAATTCACATGTGTGTCCATAAATAGTTTTTCTGGAGCATAGCCATGGATTCATTCACACACTGTCTGTGGCTGCTTCAAGTTATGGCAGAGCTAAGTAGCTGGTGGAGATCGGATGGCTTGCAAAGCCTAAAATATTTATTTGGTCCTTCACAGTAAAAGTTTTCTAAATCCTGGATTAGAGGAAATTGGCTTCTGTATGAGCAAAATAAATGTAAGATAGACCTAAGGAAGAACTTCCTGGCAGAGAGGTTGGTTAGACACTTGACAGGGCTTTGGGATTCCCAGCTCTGGAGTTAAGAGGTTCCATCCACCCATGCCTCTTCGGAAATGTCAAATAGAGATAGCTAGGGCAAAGAGATGGGCCTGGAATTTCCAACCATGGAACTGCCCTGGCAACCAGTGACAGTTCTGTGAGCCTTTTAGCTTTGTCCTGACCCTCTGTGTTCTCCATGGCTGATGTCCTAGGACTGTCTAACAGCTGTCCCCTAGCCATAGTCATGCTGGGCTTTCTTCCTGCGGTACTCCTTAGGGTTCTAGCCCCACAGAGCCAGCTCGGTCCTCAGTCACCACTTAATATGAGGCACACACAGCATGTGGGTTGTCTGGTCTCAAGTACGAAGCTGCTGGCAGATCTGTCCTTTTAATTTTTTAAGTGTTTTGCATTTTTGGAGTCTCACTCTGTCGCCCAGACTGGAGTACAATGGTGTGATCTTGACTCACCGCAACCTCCACCTCCTGGGTTCAAGTGATTCTCCTGCCTCAGCCTCCTGAGTAGCTGGGATTACAGGCACCTGCCACCATGCCTGGCTAATTTTTGTATTTTTAGTAGAGATGGAGTTTCACCATGTTGGTCAGGCTGGTCTTGAACTCCTGACGTCAAGTGATCTGCCTACCTGGGCCTCCCAGAGTGCTGGGATTTCAGGCATGAGCCCTCGTGCCCGGCCTTAATTTTTGTATTTTTGGTAGAGACAGGGTTGTGCCATGTTGGCCAGGCTGATCTTGAACTCCTGACCTCAACTGGTCCGCCCACCTCGGCCTCCCAAAGTGCTGGGATTACAGGCATGAGCCATTGTGCCCAGCCATATCTGCCTTTCAGCTAGTCTGCTTTGATCTCCCAGTTCCCCTGCCCTCTCTGCTCCCTCCCCACAAGGTTTCCATGCCCACCAAACTTGGATAGGGCGAGAACAAGCATATTTAGTTTCTTCCAGATCTACCTGCTTTTCTTGGTGCCTGACCCCTGACCCCCACTGATTTTCCCAGCGCAGTAAACATCTCTGGCATCTTATGGGCGTGATCCAGGCCAGTGAGGAATTTGGCCAGCAAAGTCTTTTGTCATTTGCAACCTGGTTCGCCCTGGAACAGAGGGTTGGCCAAGAGTGAGATGCCAAGTGGGGGGATTTAAATGGTTTTCCTCAAGTGACCCCTGAAGCCAGATCTGCTGGGACAGATGTTCTGGGTGGGCATTGAGAGTCTGGCCTGTTGGGGGCAGTTAGCTTCAGATAGCACCTCAATTTCAGAGGAGCCTCAACTTCCCAGCGGGCTCTGCTGCAAAAATGTGGGGTGGGGTCCAGGGATGGTTTTGTGGTCCTGGAAATCACTAAACAGTATGCAAAGTGGGCAAATGTGGGCAATATGTGTGGGGTTTTTTTTGAGTCCGTGCTCGCATCAGAACCCCTGGGGTGGAAGCTCTCCAGAAAGCTGTAAAGTGCCTATCCAGGACTGGATGAGCAGGACCGTAGGGACATAAAGGCCAACGTGATTCTTTTCCCCAAACACTTTGTATCCCAGGATATCAGCTACCAGACCACAGGGATCAACCTGCCCAACTCATTCCTGCAAGCAAGTATGTGCTTAAGTTGTATTTTGTTTTGTTTTTAAACATGAGACATCTTTGTCCAGGGAAGGCAGAGAATAGTCAAACTATTTCAGCCGCAGAGAAAGGGACTACCAGGGTCTGAACCTCTCTTGCCAAAAGCCTTGGAGTATCTGGAAGAAATTCTTGGTTGTGGGGTCGCAAGAACGTGGGCCTTGGAGCTGGACAGCCTTGGCCCAGGTTCAGGTCCTTGCTCTGCCATGTACTTCCCAGGACCTCTCAGTGGGGTCCCTGGGCCAGCAGCATTGCATTCCGTGGGAGCTTGTTAGAGCACAGAGCCCAGTGAGTTGGATGTGCTTTTTTTTTTTTTGAGATGGAGTTTCACTCTTGTCCCCCAGGCTGGAGTGCAGTGGCACGATCTCTGCTCACTGCAACCTCTGCCACCCAAGTTCAAGTGATTCTGGTGCCTCAGCCTCCGAGTAGCTGGGATTATAGGCCTGTGCCACCACGCCTGGCCTAACTTTTGTATTTTTAATAGAGACAGAGTTTCCCCATGTTGGCCTGGCTGGTCTCAAACTCCCGACCTCAGGTGATCCACCTGCCTTGGCCTCCCAAAGTGCTGGGATTACAAGCGTGAGCTGCCGCGCTCAGCCAGATGTACATTTTTAACTGGACCTCCAGGTGACTGTTAGCATGTTCAGGTTTGAGGAGCATTGACCCTGGGCAAGTCAGGTTAAATAACTCCAGCGTGCCTCAGCGTCCTCAACCTGTCGCATGGTGATAATGCCTACTTGAAAAGGTCGTTTTGATAATTCAGTGAGATAATGTATTCCAGCACTTAGCACAGTGCCTGGTATCCATATTCATCTCCTGCCGGTGGACTTTCTTTCGGGAAGTTTAAATTTCTTTTCCACTCTCAAAAACGCCACTTGGTTTTGAACTTGAAGCTGTTGCAGTGCTGGAGTTGAACAGCAGAGGGCACTCTCGGCATTGCCATCGCGGAGAGCAAGACACGCGGGATGGAGGCTGCGTGGGACCGGACTGTGGGTGTGCAGGTGCTGCGGACCGGCTCCTGGGCACCCACCCAGCTCATTCGTCGAGTGGCTCCCCTCCTGGGGTCAAGTGTACTGGGCCTGAGCCTGCAGCCTCAGTCATCTGTTCCCCCACTTGATCTCCCACTGCTAGTTATAAACAAACCGCCCGGCTTGTGCAAACCTCCCGGGCTCAGTCCCCAGTCCCGCGGGGCCGCTAGACGTTGATGAAGGATCCCTGGTCGCCGTTGGCCGTCTCGGGCTCCACGCAGCGCCCTTTCCTCCGTGTAACCCTGCGGTTCCGGTGGAATTTGGCATAGCAGCGCAGCCCTGGGCGAGGGGAGGCAAGGGGGTCAGAGGCGCGAAGGGCCGGTGCCCTCCCCTTCTTTCCCCTGCATGCTCGGGGCCGGCCAGCTCTCTCCCGCCTTCTTTATTCTGCCCCGCAACCCAGCCTCCTCCCGTCAGCCCCAGTGAGCTTGAAAGACACGAATCCGGGCCGGGCGCAGTGGCTCACGCCTGTAATCCCAGCACTTTGGAGGCCGAGGCGGGTGGATCACGAGGTCAGGAGACCGAGATC